CTTTTTAGTGGAAGGCGCTTTATGGAGTTACATCAATGGGCGAACCAGATTAATGCTCCTTCCCCATTTTAAAAGTCCATTGTGCGTGCTGAATTTCGCACAACAATAGAAACAAGAACAGAGGTCTTTCACGGTGAACTTGGGGTCATTTAGGTAGTGATTTCGACGGCACGAGGGCTCTGCACTCCGGGATGGAATATCCCTACAAGTGAGCTAATCCACTGGAAAGCAGGTTTTAGCAACAAGAAGTAGGTTGAAAGGGACAAAGGGACCTTAAGGACTGGTGATGAATTAATGTTGGGCCGCCTGATCGGTCCTGGGACACTAAGAAACGATCCTACGATAGAAAAACAGGTTAGAAGGGTGTCGGAATGCTCTCCAGCATATTCCCTCTGACGATCAAGTCAGTTTCTTAAGGGTGGAGAAGAAGAAAACATTGTAGTTTTGTTTGAGAATTTTTGCATACCTTTACAGTGAAGGTTTCAAGACTATTTATACTTTCAGAAGCTCATGATTGCTGACAGTCTACTTAGCAGTCATTCGTTAGAGATGGGGCAGTGTGCCCCTTACTTTTATGGGAGAGTGGGTTTTGTCTTAACTGGTCGGGACGCCGAGACCCAAATATTTACTCCTCGGAATACCGAGCAGTCAATTTCCCCTCCTCGGTAGGGATGTATTAAATGCCCTGGTATAGACATCTTTAATGCATTTCACATCTCGTTCTCATGCATTAATTGCTATCTCATCAAAAAGAGGGTTCATTAAATGCTTACTTGCTTGAGTCGAACGTCAGTGGGGATATCCAGGTCTTTTCACAACTAATTTGATATTGACTTCCACATGTCCGTGTCTCCTTAATTGTGTGTCCTGCATCCCTAACTCTTCATATAATATTGAACAGAGTGCCTTCATAATAAGGTCTAGCATCCCCTAGGCTAGCTACCCAGTCAATCATCACCCTCCTGTTTTATAGAAGCAAAGGAGTAGTTGGTTCCAAACTCAGGAACACCTTGGCACCGAGGTCGCTAGTTCATCTCGGATAAAGGGGTTACCAAGCTGAGGACACGTGTCATTATGCCGACGACAGCACCCCCTTGGCCCCGATTTGCACCTCCCTCGGCAGTGAGGCGTGTGTCACCGAGAACACGTGTTCGCACAGGGGCCGAGGACATGCGTCACCAATCTGTTTTGTCTCAGAAATGTCCCATCATCCACCTAGGGAGGTAAATTTGCATCATCTTCTAGGCCTCATGCATTATGCCATACGTCCTTCATTTATGGATGACTTGCATGATGTCACCATCTCCTATTCAGAGTTACCAAGATGTGCCACGGAGCTTCAAGATGCCACGGAGCATCAAGATGCCGAGATTAAATTTAAGAGAGGCAAAGTTCCTGAACCATGGATGGATATAGAGTTCAAAAAGGGTAATGCTGCACTGATTAAATTTAAAGTTCAAATGACATGACAGTTGATTATTTGAAGTGTTTTTTGGGGCCCAAATAACATGACACTAATCAAAGAAGCTCAAGTCAACTACCATATCATTTGAGCTCTAAATGTGATCCCAAAAATTTGATTATTGGTGATGACATAGAGCTATTACTCAGAAATTTGATTACATTTAAGGAATTTATAGAACAACTCAATTCCACCGTCAACACGGACGGAACTAAAAAATCATACCATTCTTGAGTGATTACTTTAAATAAATAAATAAATATATATATATATATATATATATTATTTTTTGATTATAAATAAATAGTACTAATTGTTTGTTATTTATTTGACAAATTAAAACACTTGAGTAAAAGTCAGATATC